TTTTGCGAATTTGCTTGCAAGCAAATTTTATGTGACAGACTCAGGCAATAGATTGCAGAAAAATAGATCTCTGAGTGAATCTGTGATTCTGCCAGCAACTCAATCTGCCTGCCTGCTTTGCCTGATTTTGGGTAAAAGTTGCTCTTTCTTATAAAAAAAATCAATATTTACATAAATATTATAATATTTACATATAAGCCACGTCCACCCATTCATGTGACTACCAAGCCATGCCCAGTCAGCAAGTCACACCCACCCAGTCACATGACCATTAAGCCATACCCACAAATTAGGCCACACTCACAGAACCGATTGTTAAGAAATTTCAATCCCACCCCTGCATACATACAGAATCCATATATTCATGACTTTACCTGGTCTTGTTTCACCAAACAACATTATTTAATGTTTGTGTTTTTCCTGAAATTCAGTTTTAACTTCCAAATAACCAAGTAGGCAGAAGCACATTTCTATTTCTTTTGACAAATTTCATTCCTAACCACATATTACCTTATTTCCCTAAATTTGCACATGTGAGCAATACATACAAATCCATCTACTTTTTCCTCATCTATCTATAACTTGCAATCATTTCCTTGTCAAACACAGCTACATTGGTCTTTTATATATTAATTTTAAAACTATTATTCTCATTGCATCCTACAATCTATCCAATATTTTCTGTGAATTAGGTTTACTGATTGTCAGTCAACAGAGTGACACTATTTGCATACAAATGTACATCCTTTCACTTTCCCAAACAACACATCCCTAGAGTAACCAAAATATTCCTTATACAATTATCCATAAATGGGTAATTCAGCTGGAGGTGCTTTTCTAACTTTCCAAAGCAATTTTTAAACTTTTCATCAAATGATTGTTTTGCTTCTTTTAATGTTGACTGTTACTTGCTCTCTTAGTAATTATCTTTCTCTCATCCTCATTTTTGCAATAGTCTCTTACATTCATTTTTTCCTCATCCACAGTCTCTTTTACTTCATCTTTCCATTCAGCATACTTTTTCACATTTTCTATTAGTGTAACTCCACAGATTTATGAGGCTTGCTGTAATATAACTCTTTTCATTCTGTTACAGGCAGTTTCCCCATCTATTTCCATTCATTTTATTTGAAAATTAATCTCTTTTCTATTATTTTTTGATACAGGACTCATACTTTTTCCCTAAAGTCTCACTTTCACTTTTTTCTTTTCCTCCATGCCAATTTCCCCCCAATATCTGCTGCTGAACACTATCAAAATGTCCTCTATTCAAAACTCCTCATCATTCTTGTATCCTTCAGTAATTCTCTCAGTCATTCATCCTACACAATCTAATACATCATGCTTTTAGATTTATGTTCATTCCTTTGCCATGTGTGTACATGAATAGATTTATGCTTACACTATAAGCATATATTCACCAGTCACCATTCTCAGGTTGATGAATAGTCAAATCATTTTTCTGTACTGTCTCGTCTCATTCCCACCCACCCATTCATATCACCTAACAGAATAGTATCTTCTCCTGAACTGCTTTCATTCAGAAACTCATCTCTAACGCTTCCATTATCACCATTCACTGGAGTGTAACAGGTATAACAAATCTATGAATTCCTGCTTTCAAATAAACAACTTAATCACACCAATTCACATTTTATGATTTATGTTAACCCCGTCATAATTCAACCCAATTTCACTTCTCTACATGAGTCATCCACTCCAGTCCACAAGATGATTACCTTCATTCAGATTTTATTATTTATTTATATGTTATTTTCTTCCCATTCTCTTAGTTTCACTGACATAATTTGTTTTCCTTTTGTTTCATTCATTCTTTCATAGGGTTTAACATTTACTGTTCTTACATTCCAAGTTGCAATTTTCTGTATGCTATGATCATCATTTGGGGGACCCTATTGACCAAAGCCATGATATGCATTGGGCCATTTAGCTTTGGTCAATTGAGGTCTTCATATAATGCTGTTTAGGTTACACAGGCCTTAGTCTTACCTGTGCAACATACAACATCCTCTGTTAATAGTAAAGAGAGGACCAGTTAGTTTTGATACATTTTAGCCAGTGTGAGTAATCAGGCCCAGTGTTACGCCAAATATATGCTCATGGTATTTCTCTGCAAAATAACATATCTAATCCAAAGACTACCTTGCAAGCCAACATTCAATTGTCCACATCCTGTCAACTTGGGGGTATTGCAGTAGAATATCATATTTGCAGGAAAGTTTGTTAAATATATAAAAATGGACACTTGAGCATCAGATGCGTTCAACTGATGGGAATGCTAGAAAACGAGCATGCCGCAGTAGCTTCGCCCTGAGCCCTCCAGCTGCTCCTGGTGGGACAGATTCCCCAAGCCCCGCTCTTCACCATGGGGAGATACTCTGGAGTTTGCCAGATCATAAGCAGCAAAACAAACATAATGCGGGTGGGGGGGGGGGGGGGAATTGGGAATTGGGTCTCCTCCTCTGGAGCTAATCACAACTGAGCTGAAAGGGAGGTGGTTGCACCACCAGAGATCAAGCAAAGGGGGTCTTAGAAGAAGCAACAGTTCAGGGTCTCCTCCTCACAGCTGGGCTTCAGCCATATTTTTCTCAAAGTTGACAAACTCTGAACGACCCTCTCACTTGATGAAGAAGAAGAAGAAGAAGAAGAAGCACACACACCCTGCACCAGGTCCTATACATATTCCCTCCCTTTTTACCCTTCTCTTCCTCTCTTCTCTACACCTGGTCCCCGCTCAATGGGTCAGCTAGTGCAGGGCAGATAAACGGAACTGAAGCCCCCCCCCCTCCCCTCACTCAGCCCTGGAAGGGAGGAGGAGACAACCGCGGAGGGAGGAGGAGCCAGGAGCCTGGCATCGTGCCAGTCTGAAGCCGCGAAGCACGCAAGGAAAGGAGGGGGACTGGCAGTGGCAGACATGGAAAATCGGCGGGAGGGGCCGCTGCGCTGGGAGAGGGGGGGAGCACACACCCTGGAGGCCCCTGCCTCACGTATCTGCTCTGCTAGGGAAAAACTGAGTCCGGCAGAAAGACACCCCCCCTCCCCGCCACACACACACCACCCTCGGCTTGCCCTTCACCGGCAACACGGCAAAGCTTTCAAGGACACAGCTGCGCCCTCCCCGCCGCCGCCCCCCCCCCCCCCCCCCCCCCC